GTATTTACGGAGAGAGATGGCGACTTATACTGCATTTTATTTATTGTAGATCAAATTTAACTGGAAAGCAAGAATCCAGAAAGAGTTCCACAAGTAAGAAGTGCGAGAGAAAAAACTTTTAGCATAGAACATATGGTTGCATCTAGCCAATTCAACTTTGAATTGGTGAGAATTTACTGCCAATCTAGTATTTCGCTTAAATATGTGAAGTCGAGTTATCAAAATTCAGTCAGTTATGTGCCATGCGTGATACACGCTTAGGCGATCATGCATCTTTCGATACATGACTGACGAGGCAGATATTTCTTGCAGTAGGCTCTCATTTCTTACTGCGGTAGATCAGTTGCCATCAAAAGCTAAAGAACCCGGTGTGTCCTGATATTTACCTATAGCCGGGGGAAAAGAAATGGATTCATACCTTTCGTAAGTGAATGTAATGGATTCGACTGGAATTCGAACTCGGCTCTCCGATTCCTCAATCCGAATCGTTATACACCGTGCCTCAAAATTAGTGTTTTTATATTGAGAATGCACTTTTCACAAATGGCTTTATTTTTTTTTTACTCAAACACTCAAAAAATAAGAAGTATTTCATCAGAGATAAAAAAATGTATCGATTTTTAAACTAAATTTAGAGGTCGATTTCATACGCCCTCAACAAAACTATTATTCACCATATTTTGAGAAATAAATTAATTTCAAGGGTAAAATGATAAAAACTTGTTGTGGGAAAATATATGCTATTGGTTTCATTAACAAAGCGAATATCTATACAATATAAACATAAAAAGTTCAAATAAGCCACAAAAGTCTTCATAAAACACTTGAATATATATATATATATATATATATATATATATATATATATATATATATATCTGAACTGTTCATACAAGATGAGCAGATGTTTTTTTTGTAAGGGACTTGATATCTAAAAATATATATTTGGTACTTATGTTGAGTGTCACGAGTCTGAATAAATACGTCTTTCTTGTCTGACTGCCAGGAACAAAAGAGAATGTTTGACTTTTACGCCTAACGATCTTCTCGGGCAGCTCACGTGACTATATATCTATTTTTAGCTTTTTAAAGAGTTACTCAAAGGGAGATAACTTTTGTCTCTTGCAACAAACTAACTGCTAATCTAACACTACGTTTAAATACAGGAAGTCGAGGTATCAAAATAGGAAAGCTCACCACGACAACTGCCATGAAAATATGTGTAGCAAGGACAGAAGAAACAACGTTACGGAACTGACGAAAGTGGTATAAGCCGAGAAGCCAGATAAGGACCGATATTATGGTAGATTTTTTTTCTTTCGGCAGAATCACTAGATACATAACAGAAACACTAAACTAGATGTGACAACAATATTCAATGCAACATTCTAAGATAGGCTAGTAAATGTGTAAGAATGTTTGGAACAAGGAAGCTTCTGAAATTTCTATGTTTTATTGGCAGAAAATCTCAATAAATCTCAATAACGTCCAGTTACGTAAAGTAATTTTACTCAAATCCTATTTGTATAACGCCTGCTTTATTTTTGGAAGATTAATTAAATTTTAATGAGATTTTTTTCTGTTGACAGCCATCAGATTTCGGGCAATTAAAGTACTTTTGGGTAACAGCAATTGACAATGAAAAATATTCAGTGAAAAGCAGTCTAAGATCGGCCTTAAGTATATGAATGTGATGATAATGATCATCACACACATACATACATACCTACAGAAATTCAAATTTCAATAACAATCATTCATTGGACAGAAATCAACGCTGCTATCTTATGCGACAATTTTAAAATCGCTATATTTTTATATAGCAGATTTTGTGCACTTTTGGGAGAATCGGCTCCCAGAAGTCTCCCAAAAACTCATGCACTGATTGGTTAGTTTCTCTGCATGTGGAGAATGATTCTTCCCGCGCAGCACTCCTGATCCAATGATCTTTTTCCTTCAGCCCTCGTGCCGAATCCCACCTCGCGTGGAGGTGAGGTAAATCTCTCTTCTCTATTATTGCTACAAAATGTAGCCCTTGAGAATTGTCGTCTTGACCTTGCGGTCAGACGTTAAAGAACATTACCAACATACACGTACATAGGAACATTCACAACGAACATTCACCACAAACATTCACCAAAATAGAAACGTTCACACACACACGCACACGCGCGCATACATACACACAGACACAATGTTAACTGTCTATGTGCTTTGTAAATGTTTGATGAAGGGGTGTCCACTGAAAAAATGAAAAAAAGAAAGAAAATCGCCCGTAAACGGCTTAAATAGATTTCGCACCGTTGCGATTGGCTGTTGGTCAATCTCCAATCAAATGTGTGATAACGGGGTACATTTATAGAAGTCAGTGTCTACAAGCATTTTTTAGAGGGCGTTTCAGAGTCTGATCAGCTCTGAGGGGGTCGATTTGGTGAGGTCAGTATGGGGTTTGAAAGACCCGAAACTGCCCAATGATCCATCTCCAGAACATCACTGACGATGCCCTCTAGCGATAAAAGAGCGTATATTCAATGCTGTTTCATACATATATTTGTTTATATATATATATATATATATATATATATATATATCGATCTTATTTGTTTGTCTTCCTTATCTTCAATTGGACTGAATCCAAGTCCAACATTCTATTGTAGTTGGAACTTCTAGCAGGAAATATAAACACACATATTTTCTTTACATCTACACCCTACTGTCCTCTACATAATGATGACCCTGATGGGAATTTGCGAAGGGAAGCCAAGAGTCAACATAATAGTCCTCAACATGAAAATATTCTTTTTTCCGAACAGATATATTTTCTTGCAATAAAGCGAAAATCTTGAGATTGGGGAGGCCACTCCATGTGTTCTACCCCAGTGATCGAAATAAAGGGTTCAGTTCGAAATTTCAACCACCTGAAGAAGGCCGGAGCGTACAACGGCCGAAATGTTGTGACAAATATGGCGACAAAGATGAGGACAATAGTCCAACTAATGTAAATACTGTAAGGAAAACAAGATTAGCCTACAACAATCAAGCCCAAAACTGTTTCTTTGTTTCCAGGATCCTTCAATTACTTCTATCTATATTTTTCTTCGTGATCTGCTGACTGTACAGTGGCTTGGCATATTACATGTTTATGGAAGCAATTGCCGTTTAAGGGACATTTGTTTTTTATTCTGCAGTTACACGTTGGTTTAATTTGTTCAGGTGATTTGTTAATTGTTTTCTTGTCGTGCTTTTTAGTATTTGTGTCATATTCTCTGGGCAGCTGTAACTGATTTTTACTGTCTTTTTGTTGAATATCTTGTGTAGAGTGCTTGATTCGGAGAAGTTTTTGCGGATGAGTTTAATAAATATTTTTCCTACGTTTGTTTTTACGTTTTTGTTGTACAGTGGGTTGAAACATGTGGTGTTTCTCTTCCTGTTGGAAGTCAAGAGCAGAAAGGATTCCCACCGCCACTAGTAAACAGAGCATATTTAAGCTTGTGACACAGCCCCAAGAAGGTTTATAGTCTTGGAAATGCTTGTAACAGCTAAATACCGATGTTACATCATAGAAAAGGCTGAATTAGTTAACATTATAGTGTAATAACTCAACATAAAAATCCATGTCCCTATCAGTCAAGACAATTAGGGGACCGTATAAGCTTACCTGAGCCTGGGAGTTGCCTTACATTCGTCTTGGAAGACACACACGTATTTTTCAGGGTAGCTTTTAGGTAAAAGTTCGTCTTCTAAGCCGGAAAATACGGTAATGTTCTCCTTTAGTTGGATTTCTTCTGACATAAATGTTTGGGCCTTAACGATGAAATTTATTCGGTCGTCTCGTTTTAATTTTTGGCCAATTGTTTTAATTTCCTTATTGACATCGTGTACTGTTACTTTTGTATCGAGGGTCATACTCCTATGTATATTTTTGTCTTCGTTATCTGCTGACTTGACAATGGCTTCGTATATTCCAAGCATCAAAAAAGAATAAAAAGAAGGAACTAATAAGAGTAAAAACTTTCTGGAGTGTCCCAAGCGCTTTCGGCAAATTCTTTAGCCGTTTTCAAAGGGAGTTTGTTGGGAAGTGTTGTTAGTTTCTTTTTATGTTTGTTTAAGATGCAGTTGGTGTGGTGTTTAAATTGAGTTTATTCTGAGCCTTTCGAGTTGAGAATGGCTGCAATTCGAATTGGCGTTTTTCTATTAAAAAAAAATTCAACGCACCATTTTTAAGGAGAAGCGATGCACAAATCTTTTCAGAAAACGTGCCAAGAACGTGCAACATCTAGATTGTACATTACTGTTTCTTTGCACGGGTGAACGCGTTTAGGGGTGATAAGGGAGGAGCTTTATTAAAACATCCATCCACACATGCCTGAATCTTTTTTTTTCTTTTTAATTAAATAAAAAGACATAACGACCAGCTTATTCGTCTAAGGAAGTAAAATTCGGAAAACAGGAAAACAAAGAATGCCGGGATAGATGGTATCTGGCACAAAGACAAACGTCGGGGGGTCTCAAGGGGAAATTATGTACTGTTATTCCCAGTGGAATATTGCTATACTTGAGCGGGAAATGAATATTCAAAACAGTTTGTTACATCAACTCGAACACTGAGCACTGGTATTGAATTTAACAATCCAGGCCTATCCAGATATTGATCTTTGTTCATTATATATATATATATATATATATATATATATATATATATATATATATATATATATATCAGTTTTATCCATATCAGTCTATACTTATCTATCTATCTATCTCAGACTGTCATATTGTTCATATATATATATATATATATATATATATATATATATAATTCTCTTCATATCTATCTATCTGTCTGTCTATCTCAGTCTGTTTTTATAAATATATAACTTTGTTGGTTTTATCTATATCACTCTACTCTTATCTATCTATCAATCTATTTATCTAACAATATAATTCCCTTCATATATATTTACGTCAGTCTGTTCATATCTATCTCATTCTTTTCTTAGCAATATGTCTGTTTTATCTATCGCAGTCTATTCTTATCTATATAACTATCTGCCTCATTCGATTCATATCTCTGTTCATATCTATCTATCTATCTATCTATCTATCTCAATCTGTTCATATCTATCTATCGCAGTCTTTTTCATACCTATCTATCTATCAATCTATCTATCACAGTCTTTACATTATCTATCTATCTATCTATCTCAGTCTGTTCATTATCTATCTATCTATCTATCTATCTATCTATCTCAGTCTTTTTCATACCTGTCTATCTATCTATCTATCTATCACAGTCTTTACATTATCTATCTATCTATCTATCTATCTATCTATCTATCTATCTCAGTCTGTTCATATCTATCTATCTATCTATCTATCTATCGCAGTCTTTTTCATATCTATCTATCTATCTATCTATCTATCTATCTCAGTCTGTTTATATCTATCTATCTATCGCAGTTTTTTCATACCTATCTATCTATCTATCTATTTATGTATCTATCTCATTCTCTTCATTTCTAACTCTCTTTTTTTTCTGTCTCATCCTTCATAGTAATCTGCGTATGCCAGTCTGTTTTTATCTATACATCTCAATGTTTTATCTATCTATCTATCTATCTATCTATCTATCTATCTATCTATATATATATATATATATATATATATATATATCAGTCTCTTCTTATTTATCTGTTTTAGTCTCTTTTTATCTGGCTATCTGTCTGTCTGTTCATATCGGCTTTATCTCCCGCCCAAACGTATGTCTCGTTTTCAATTTCGCATTCTTTCCCCTTCTTGTTTTCGGGTACAACTTCACAGATATGCAGCTGCCCAGTGAGACTCGAAGTCGCTACTCTTTCGCAATGCCCAACCAGACAACATCGCTAAGCATAATCCCAAAGCGAGGCAATGTCTCACAGAGCAGCCGCCAGCACATACACAGACCTTCTCCTCCGATATTGGAACACCTGTTTCTCTCTTTCCTTCACTATCTCTCTCTCTCTCTCTCTCTCTCTTTCTCGTTCTACCACTTCGTTGCAAGCTTTCTCTCTCATCTTTCCCTCTCTTATTTAGAAAACAACCATTTTCTTTACTCACATTCACAATCTTTCTCATTAAAAACATATCGTTTGCTAATGCAACACTCGACACCTACGAATATCGTCTTTCTCTTTCTCGACTTTTCTTTTTCATAAAGCCATTTGCTATCTATGCATATTCCTCTGTCTTATTTATTACGCATCTCTCTATGCCTACGTACAGACACTTTCATTTTTCTCTTTTTTTCTCTCTTATTTTTGGCAATTAATCTCTCCTGCATGTCTTTTAATCACAATGCGACTATATTCTCTTCTCTCTCTCTCTCTCTCTCTCTCTCTCTTTCTTTCATTTTCTCTACTTTTTTTACACAAATCGCAAGCCACATCTACGAGCAAACTGGTACGCCAACGTAAATAGCTAAGAGAATAAGAAACCTTGTCGAGAATTTACTTTGTGCTTTTCGAATTCAAAATCAATCTTGGTTTAACAATTTGACTTCCAATTGAAACCTCACAACGACGTCTGTGTTGTTCGTCTGTTAATCTGGCGTAATTCGACAAGGCGCGCGCAAAATGCTATCTGGAAAGTTTCAAGCCAAAAAACTTTTCTCAAAGATGAGAGAGAATTTCGAATGAATGTCAACTTACTTTTTGCATTTCCTCTGACATACGACAATTCAAAAGTAATTGCATATATATATATATATATATATATATATATATATATATATATATATATATTGCATAATCTAAACATATTATGTCTATTTATTTTTCAAAATAGAAGAAATAACCAAAACCACAGCGTCTTTCTGACGAAGAAATAAGACAAATTGTTTTAAAAATGACAATTTGAAAAAAATCTTCTTGCCATTGATGTTTTGTAGCTACAAAATATTTCGATTTCATTGCTTGCCATATATGTGTGTGTGTGTGTGTGTGTGTACGTGTTTAGACAGCATATCTTCATTCAAACATGTTTTATTGAATAATATATATCTATTTTGTCTACTTATTTTTAAACTGATCTTTTCAGTTCTCTAATCAGTGTCTTGATGTTAAGATAAAATTCATCAAGAAAGACTCCATAGTTTTTTGTTTTTTGTTTTTTTTTAGCCCAAGTACTTTCCAACTTGCCTTGATCATCTTCAGGGGTAAATTACAATGACATAGTATTTTAAAGATGATAAAACCTGTATTTCGTTGTCATGGTGATTTTTTAAAATACGCGCGAACGCGCTCTGTTGTAGTTATTGTAGAAATTTTAATATTTATCCTTTGCAGTTATTCAATTTTACAAAACAAGCGTTTCGATATGAGAGAACTGACCGGGAATTGTTAGAAATGTAAAATGGCATGAGTATATAAATGTTATATGCATTTTAATATGTTGTTACTATATTTGTAATAAATTTTGTTGAGTGTTGGTTGGTTGATTTTGATATACAGCGTAGATATTAAAAACAACAGACGTTTTGTGTAGATTAATATTAATGAACGAATATATATATATATATATATATATATATATATATATATATATATATATATATATATATATATAGGAGGCACGGTGGAGTAATGGATAGCGGAATCGCAGAGCCGAGTTCGAATTCCAGTCGAAACCATTACATTCACTTACGTGCTAATACCCTTGGGAAAGGTATGAATCCTCTTCCTCTCCCTCCAGCTATGGGTAAAATAGCAGGACAGACTGTGTTCTATAGCCTTGGATGGCAACTGGTCTAGGAGAAGGACAACTCTGAATTCAAGATCTGCGGAGGGTCGTTTGGGAACCTTGTGGCATTCGGTGCACCAGGTCTCTGTATTCGTCCCTTCAAAAAGTGTGGATGGTCCTGCACGAAACCTTCACCACTATAATCAAATCTCATGTGCCGGTGTCGGGCTGTCGGTTTCCTGGGAACTGATCTGCTTGACCCTCATACGTCGAATTCGACGAGAGAGTCGATTATATATATATATATATATATATATATATATATATATATATAGGTAGCATATCTTCATTAATACATGTTTCATTGAATAATATAGACACATTGTGTCTACTTATTTTTATACTGATCCTTTCCAGTTTTCTCATCAGTTTCTTGGTGTTAAGATGAAATTCATCAAGGAAGGCCACGCATTTTTTTTTTTAACCAACAATTTTCCACCTTTTCTAAGATCATCTTCAGGGGTAAATTACAAAGACAAACATATTGTATCTTCGATAAAATTTTCTTCTGCTGTCATCGTGGTTTCTTTTTTTCTTAAAAAGAATACGTGCTCCATTATAGTTTTTAAAATTTCAAAATGTATCCGTTGTAACTATGGATTTTTTTGCAAAAAAAAGCGTTTCAACCAAAAGGAGCTGACCGGGAATCGGTAGAAATGTAAAACCGCATTAAATATTATATGCACTTTAATATTTTGTTGCTATATTCCTAATAAATTTTGTTGAGTGTTGGTTGTTCGATTTTTATATAGAGGGACACAAGAATTTGAATTTTTTGTTTATTATTTCGTGGTGTAATAATGGTAACTTGTTACTTCCTGCTAGCAGAGCCATCGATGGTCCCTGAAGGTTCAGTCTACCCAATTTCACTCGCAAGGCTTGGGTCAACCCGTGGTATGTTTTTCAGGTTATTTCCAAAGGTGCCACACGCTGGGATCGACCCCTCCAGACCGGTAACACCAAGAAGTCACCTTCCTCTCAAATCGACCATGAGTAAGATTCGAACCCAGGCCTCATGATCAGAAAGCGAACGTTCTAACCAATCAGTCACGAGGGTTTGAGTGTGCTGGCCTTGTTCAGATTGTTGATCTCGGTAGATAACTCGTTTTCTCCGAGAAACTATAACTAATGTCTGTTCAGCATAGTTGCAGTATGAACAACAGGTGGGCTCTGTGGGTGTTGAACAAACGCAAAATGTGCCTGAGAAAGCGTCTACTATAGGGATTAACTGTCCGCCCTAATATCATGATCAGTATACTGATGTGGCTAATGAGTATTTTTCTGTACTATGTAGGTGGATAGGAATGGAGGAAATATGTATCACAAAGTGGAAAACTTTTTTTTTTTTTTTGAGACGCGCTTCTTCCTCTAGCACTTCATCGGATTAAATTTGTTTACATTGATGCGACTACATATATATATATATATATATATATATATATATATATATATATAGCCCGCGGAGCTATGTAAAGTACCAGGTTGAGAACTGGCACGGGTTAGCTGCCCTTGGTGAGGGTGAAAGGAGTCTCTCTGCTTAGAAATCCTTTTAGTATTGGTTCCATGATAAAAAAAAAAACTCATGACAGCTTAACCCGGTCATTATATTGCATGTGTCTACCGAAAGGCGTGTACTGGCTAATATTGACTGTGATCCGGAGAGGTCAAACTCTGCAATAATAACACATGAGGACTGTCGTTCGGAGTTTCCGTGGCAAGTCTTTTGCACCATTACTTTTTTATCGACAGATCCAAAAAGTGTGGACGGTCTGACACAAGCCTTCACCACTTGAAACAAATCATTGTGTTGGTTTTCTGACAACTACATCTAATTAGTTCAACACATATTCGGCTACTGCAAAAAACACTATGAAACAACATCAACTTCATCTTGGCAATTGGAATGTACGAATTCTCCAGGACAATAACTCAGCACCAGAAAGAAAAACAGTTCTGGTTGCATTGGAGCTAAAGAAGTACAACATTGATATAGCTGCACTGAGAAGTAAGCATCAGTCGACTACATGAAACGAGAAAGAAAATAAGACATCTTACAGTGTTACTGCTGCATTTGGATACAATACATTCTCTTGTACTGTTTGTGGTCTTTTGTGCAATTCTTGAGTCGGTCTCAAAAGTCATGCCCGTCATAGGCATGCAGATAATTAGTTCGTGGTCGTCGGAACCGCATACGTCGAACTCGACGGAAGAATCCATGATATATATATATATATATATATATATATATATATATATATATATATATAATTATTTATTTAAAAATTATAACATAAATATGTTATAAAATCACCACAAAATAGCCATTTTGTTTCAACACTGATCAAGTGATAATTATATCTGCTCTAATCTGTATTGAGCACTGTTCTAAGAATAGTAATTGTTGGTTATTGAATTTATTCCGTATACACCAATCATATACTTTGTGTGTACATATATATATATATATATATATATATATATATATATATATATATATATATATATATATATGGCTATTTGTATTTCAGGATAGCCGTCTAATAGGGCGGCTAACCAGTCTATATTGCAGGCGCTTGCTCAGGCTCATTTGTGTTTATTCATCACCCACAGAGCCCACCTATGGTTTGTACTGCATCTAGGCTGAGCAGACATTAGTTACAGTTTCTGGGAAAGAGCGTGTTATCTAGCGATATCAACAATTTGAACAAGTCCAGCATGCTCAAGCCCTCGGCCACGATGACTTGTGATTTCGTGCCAAGAGTTCTGTCTATCCAATTTCACTCACAAGGCTTGGGTCCACCCGTGGTATGGTTTTCGGACATTTTCCAAAGGCGCCGCCCACTTGGATCAACCCCTCTAGTCGGATAATAGTCGGACATCTCTTGTCTGGCAAATCGACCGTGGCCGAGTGGTTAGGACGTACGCATTCTGTCCATGAGATCCGGGTTCGAATCTCATCATGGTCGATTTGTCAGGAAAATGTGACTACACATGAACACGGAAGAGTGATACTAGGAATTCTTAATTTTAAATTATTTTCATTTTTTAAGTTTTTTATATATATATATATATATATATATATATATATATATATATATATATATATATATATATATATAATCTAACTGATTTCATTTAGATACTTTGCAAGTTCCATATATTCTCAAGGCGGCATCTATCCAAAATTATTTACTCCTGTCTTAATAAAATATATAATCGGTTCAATGTGTAATGGATATCGACTCGGGGTGAGAACTCGGAGAGCCGAGTTCGAATTCCAATCAAGTTCGTTAGATTCACCTAGGCACAAATACCCTTGGGAAAAGCATGCATTCATCTCTTCTATCCGAGTTATGGATTGAATCGCTGGACTGACTGGGTTCTTTAGCCTTGGCTGGCAGCCAGTCTACTACAAAAAATAGCAACGTTTCTAGAAAAAAATCAATCGTGTATCGAAATATACATGTTTGCCAAAGCGTGTATCACGAATGGCATTTAAGTGACTGACTGATCGGTTCGATGGGATCAAATTGGCAGCTGATCTAAAAAAAATTACCGAAAGACTGCTGTTAACTAGGGCAAGGAATGGCGTGTTAATTTTAACGCCCCAAAAGAATACTGCTCTTTATTAATCATCTGGATGACACATTTCTGGCTTCCATCAACATGGCTGATG